CCACAAGAAGTGGCCATGGTAAGGGGACAACGCTTGTCTTCAGCACTGCAGTGACAGACCCTGACCAGGCAGGTGTCCTAGGGCAGGCTGACATGTCACAAGGCTTTTTGGTGGGAAGCCAAGTGATGCATTTTAAAATAAAATAAAACTAGACTCTGAAGTCAGTGTACTTTTTAATATTTGGTATGAAAAATTCAATTTTCAGTCATCCTGACAAATTTTCAATCATCCTGCCATTTTTGACGAAGAAAAGCATCCCCGCCTGAGCAGACCTGTGTCTGTGCTAGCAGGTGCAGCAGAACCTGGACCTTTTGGTGAAAGGCTGTATTCTATCTCTGACATTATCCAGCTGAATACCATGACCAGAGTTGTAAATGCAAGCTATGCTTCAAAATTATTTTTAAACACAGCTACATGAATGGATTTTCAAAGAATGCATAAATAGCTGTGACTAAAACTTTGAACATCAAACCTGAGACATCTAAATATTACAAGTTGTTTTTGAAACTCTTGGCCTGTAAAGACATAGTAAAATGCAAGTATCACTTAAAAATGTACTTTAAATTTTCCAATAAATTAATATTCATAAACAAAACCTACTGTCTGCATCAAAAATAAAAATAAAAATCTGGGTTACTGTTGTGCTATTAAACACCTTGCATATTTAACCAAAGTTCTGAATACTGATGGCTTTATGAAACATTTATAGGAACAAAGACTTCACCATCAGGACAGAAGCAGACTGGGAGTGAGGGTTTATACTGAACTGTATAAACTACATAGGGCAGCTACAAGGCAATGGGCAAGGTGCTGCTGTGATCCCTGAATTTTAAAGTTATGTTTTCAAGACTGTATCACCGTATGATGGGTTACTTTTCATATTGAATGTTTCACACAGATTGTAAGCCACATAAAACCACTTTAATGTTTGTGAAAATATTTTAAGTCTGAGAGCTAAAATTGTTGTGTTATAGATAATAAAAAGATACTTCCAAAGAAATCTATACAACACAGTGTGCTCTATTTTCTTAATACTGTTTCAACAATTTCTGGCAAACGCTGCTAAAGAAAACCTCTGTCAATTAAATCAGCATGAAACCAGAATAACATCAACAAATGCAATAAACTAACAGCCCTCTACAACATGAGAATGAGGCCCTGAGAATGAACAAAAAATTGATCTTCAAAGCAAAAGGATTTTATCTGGGGGAAGGGTGGGGTGGGTCATGGCTGCAAACTTGTTACAGAAGCACAGAAATGATGGAAACAAAAGCCTTCCTGCAAGAATTACTGCAGAACTGCAACCCTGCAGGATCCTTCGATGGCCATCAGTCCGTGCATTTTTAACTCTGGAGATCAGAGCCATCATCTCTCATGGATTTCCTGTGTAATTCCCCCATGGTGAATGCAGCACCCTGAGAGCAGCTCCCTGGGCTGGAGCGAGCCAAGCCCCCGTGCTCAGCACCCCCCGAGCTGAGCCAGCTCCTGCAGGGGCCACACAGCTCCCAGCCAGCTCCTGACATTCCCAAAGCCATTTTCCACCAAGCCTTCTCATGGAGAGGCAACAGAAAAGCACTGGGAAAAACTCCTACAAACCAAACCAACTTTTATCTCCAAAATGAAACTCAATCTAATTTAATTGGATATTACATGTAACATTCCCCCCATGAAAAAATACCTAAGGAGCTCCTTATTTTTAAGTAAATCTTCAACTATAAACCGTGTCAGATTTCAAGTAAATTGTGCAATTTCCACTACAGGCTGCAAGTCACTTTCCTGAAATACCATCCTGGTTTAACAGCATGTTCATTTATCTGCTTAATGGTTTGAAATGGACTAAAATAAGTATGCAAGTTGATCCTGGTCTGAATTTGCTGTTTCATTTTGTTTTCAATTATAACACCATCAGGAGATCTGGTGTTTATCTGCTGAAATGTGCCTTCCATCAATAAAACATTCTTCCATCAGTAAGACACCTATTACAATTTAAGTCTTTTCAATATCCTAAATCCCGATTAGGCCAAATATGTTAACACACAATGATATTCCAAGCACAAGCACTGGCACTGAAGTAAGGTACTTTTATTAAAATGACTTGCTGAATGACAAGGCCAGCAATGAATACCATTTATGATAAATGGAAACAATCTTCTCAAATGCAGTTTGCCCTGCTCTTCCACCAGACCTGCTCTGACTAAAGACAAGTGAAGAATTAAAGTAATCGCTCCTTTTTCTTCTCTTTCTGGTTTGGGTTTTGGTTTGGTTTGTTTTTTTTTTTTGCCTTATTCTAAGTAGAATAAACTTACTGTAAATAGCAGCATTGTATGCATGGCTGTACAGAGAGAATCTCATTAAAAAGGCTGTCTCATGTGGGCATTACTCTGAAAGTTCAACTTTTACAAGTTTATATTAATGACTGCATTCCTTTACTAAGCACTAGAGGCTTTTTATTTCAGTTAAAAGCACAAGGAGTATTTTAGTAGTGTTCAGGAGAATAAATTTATCCAATTTTAAAGTTGGATAGTACTAGTGGCTATGTCAGCTAAAAGTGTAATTAAAATGTACTTTATATATTATATTAATTTAGGATGCCTGTCCACCACTGTGAAATTTTAATGTATATTTATGCTGTAAGTACACAGCACTGATGCTGTTATGTATGTCTAGAGTATGTATGTATCCATTTGGATACAGCATCATAACATCTCAAATACTATTCACTGTTTTTACTCTTGTCACTTTTTAGTTTCTTATAATTCCCTTCTTTTTTCTTAGAGAGAAAAAAAAAAATCCTTTTTCATAAAACAAGGCCCCTGCACGTCTTGTCCCAGTTGTGCCAGGTCTCTCAGAAGGGTACAAGGGGTTCTCTGCAGAGCTAATTCAGCACAATGCTGGTGCAGTGATGCTCAGCTGGTGGCAGGCTCAGCCAGGGCATGGTGCCAAACTCCCTGCTAAACAATGGTCCTTTTATTGCCTTCTCTGCATCCAAGACATTTGCAGTTCTGTTGGGTCTGTTCTGCTGCCATGTGGAGACCCCAGTTCTCTACTACTGGCAAGTTCAGCAAACAGATAAGAGCACATAAACCCAGCTTTCTGCCTTTCCACAGCACAATATTCTATTGCAGTGTAACACACAGTGGCCAAATGAACACTCCGTGGTTATTATCCACCTAATGCTGTAAAAATATTGCTATGACATTTGGTCTGCTTGACTATTTTAAAGGTTAATTCTGTTTCCTATTTGAGATTTTCCTCTAGGTGAGCCATTCCATGCACTTTCTATTTACTAATTCCAAACAACCCCCAAACTGTTTCATTGCTCACTCTCACTGTTAAGAACATATTGACTGGCTGCCTGCTCTGCTGTTTAATTCATTTATGCTGAGAGTCGGGCATGAAGACAGAATTTTAAATGTGACATTTGCAGGCTGTTGGGTCATTTGAAGCTCTGACAACACCAGGGAGTTCCTGACATACAAACTGGTTCTGATTTCCAATCTTCCATGTTCTGAACACATCAGAAATTCTTCCCGAAGGTGCAGATTTCAGCCAAAAGTTTTTAAATCCCTTGTGTTTACAACTTGCAGGAAAGGCTTGTACACTTTAAGGTTTTAAAATAAAGCTTATGTTTCCTTTAAGGTAAAACGAGCACTGCCTGCAGCATGAGACTCAATGCTTTAGAACACTTATTGACAAAGGTATTTGGGAAGATCTACGGTAATAATTAATACACATGAAGTTGTTTACAAAATTCTATTAAGGGTCCTAGTGGACTTTTATTTGCTCCTGTTGATCTTGAAGTGTTTAAAAACGCTGAGTCTGAAACCACAGCTTTATCTAACATTGCCTATCTTGCTTAGTGCTACTCTGACCAGTACCATGTCCTAGTTTTCAGTCTGGAAGTTTTCCTTATCTCAAGGCAGTGAATGGACTGCACCATTTTGTCTCCCAACATGAACTGTCATTATCATCCCCAGATTTCAGGTCAATTTTTCAGAGCATACTTGATTACCTGGAAGATTCCATATGACCAAGATACCATTAGGAACACAGTAATGCAGTAATGTGACTTGTTTAGTCCTGACTTAAGAAAACTGTAGTTACTTATCCCTGAAGTAGGACTCAGATCTATTGATGTGCACTCTATTTGGCCATAAACTTTTCCACAGAACAGGCAGAGTCCTCTGTGGCTGACAGCAAAGAACGAAGAGACACCTGAATGCAGACTGGGTACCTGATCTACCCAGCAGGAAGGATTGAAAACCAGGCCTTGAACTCTGAGGAAAGAGCAAGAAGGGAATATAAAATCTTCTGCACAGAAAAGAGCTCTTCCTCCTTGCCGTGAATTGGGGGAGACATGTTACAATAAAAACTTTAAGTCCAGCTTCTACATCCACATCATCCCTCATTTATTTACTTAAATCAATAGCAGAGTATTGCATTTAAATAAAGGCAAAGTTAGAAGGCACAATCTAGGAAAAATAGAAACTTTTTTTTTTAATTGTGCAAAACATAAATCAAACAAAAAAAGCCCTGTTCAAAGCAGAAAGTATGATGACACTGCTATAGTTAGAAATAAAAATGGTGCTAATTCAGAATTGTATTAGGAGGAAAGATTGTTTTCCCTGCTCAACTCATCATGACAATTATTCCACAATAATGACTCCATACTTTGGCTGCTTTTTCAGGAAGGGGAATATGATTTAGGTCAAGATGCAAATTCAAAGAAATTAATGGATTTTTTTTCTTTTCTATCAGCAGACACACAACAATTTTAACAAGTAGCTCTGAAGTGTTAACCATGTCGTACAGTAAGCATCTTTTTGTTGCCATATTCAGAATGAGACGTTTATAATTTAATAGTTGTCATCTGAAGAAGAGTATCTTGCTCATACATACTTTCAGCACAAGGACATGAATTCTGTGTGACCTAGAAAAGCAGTTTAAGTACTACAGATGTTCTTTATTTTCAAAGGAATTTTTAAAATAAAAAGACTTACCTGGTGTATAATCTGAGCTACAGGAAGTTGTTCAGCATATTTTAGTGGCTCTGTTGCCAACTCCTCCTCTGGAAACCTAGGAATAAAGTAAGATCATGTTAGTCAAAGTTAGTACAATGTTTACCAAATTCAATGAATTAAATTAAGTGTTTCAGGATACTGCTTTGCTTAAGGATGAAGAAAAAGTGTATTTTATGACAATAATGGAATGTATTTCTTATAAAGTTGAGTGAAAGAACAAATTTATAGTGAACAGAATTGTTCATAACATTGTGCGCTTTTCCCCTGACATAAAGCACAAATTTAGCAGCACAAACCTAAGAAAACCTTTAAATTTTGTTTTAGGTGAACAAGGACTGGTGAAAGCTGGATTGAAATCGCCGTGGAAGGAAAGTCTTATGCATTTACAGAGCAGATTCAGCACTGTTAACAATACAAGCTTCTTCACTCAATCCTGCCAACATAATTCAAATATGACCATCTCTAAAGGCAGGAGGGATTATTCACATTTCTCATTTTTGCTGCAAGTGCACAGCCATGTTTCGATGTGGCAGAAGTTCAACACCACAAATATTCATGCATTTGCCAGCACAGCAGTGTGTAGTCCTGGTTACCAAAAAGCCAAAAATCTAGTGTAAAAAAATCCAGAGTGAACACTTCATAAAGAATATACATCATATAGACCCTTTAAACTTTGAATAAACTGTGGCTGCAGCTGAAAACTTGGAATCCATAAGCAGTGTCTTAGAATATTTACGTGATAGTAGATTAATATGAAAGCATGTTTTAAATCCTTCAACCATGCTGCTTTCATCTACTGGAACTGCACAGTATGTGCTACATTTTCAAAGTATCACTCAAGTTTTTCATCAGCTATTCCTCTATTTTTCTGAAGAGTTCTGAATATAGGAATTCGAGCACTATAACAAGAAGTGACGGGAAAATAAAAGAACCTGACAAAAACAAGGCCCTTCTCTAAAGCTGATGTAGAATTATTTTCAGGCAAAAACTGTGGCCAAGACATTATTTTTCAGGCTCAAACCTTATACCTATTCTAATCAAAAAGGATGCACACCTGCTGGGTTAATTGACCTGCAGACCAGCTCCCAGGTAAGAGTCAGAATCTCCAGGCTTAGTGTCTGCACTGGAGGTCAACAAGCTGTGGAAAAGGAGAGGACAAAGTGCACATCTCTTCCCTTTTCCAGTATTGAACTTGTGCTGTGGTTTGAAAGACTTTAAGCTCAAATAAGAGTCTGAATATCCAGAAATTTGTAATGAATAGAGTATGAAAACCTTACTGTATAAGAAATCTAAAAGCACAGAACAAAAGAAACACAGCAATATTTCAAATATCATAGTGACAGCCTGCCTAGAACCATTTAATGTGCTTAACAGAAATTAAATAAGCAGGCTCTGAACTGCTGAAGCTGGTCTACAGATAGAGTTCACTTACTGATATGGTTTTTAGAGTTTTTGGATTTCTATGACAAGGATGAATTCATACTTTTAACAAGAAATACACTGCTATTGTAGTCCAGTGCAACCATCAGAGCTTAGAGGGGGCTCAGCAACTCCACCATAGAGTGCAGAAAGAATCTTCCCACTCACTTCCTCCCTGCTTTCTGTCATTGGTCCTGACTGGCAAACACAACACAGTCTGTGAATTGGAGATCACTTCTGTTCTGCTGAGAGCCTGTTAGATGACACAACACCTTGATTTATGGATACCAGCTACCTAAGCCCATTTTTTAGCCATAGTTTTAGATATTAGACAACTGTACACACAACACAATATTCATCAATATACTGAATGCTTATTTCTACAGTTTTTACAGAGACATTGCAAATCTGGGGGAATAATTTAAAAAAAAGTATCTCAAGTCCCAAAATTAAACAACTGAAGCTGAAACTGATAGCTAAAATTGCCATAAATGAATTTTAGCAGAAATTTAAAAAAAAAAGAGATTGTCTGTCTGTTGTTTCAAGGACCTTATACATTTGGCAGTTTTTCTGTCTAGCCAGAATCAGCATTCCCTTGCATTGTCAAACACAGTCCTTGTCAACTGCAAGAAAAAACCTTTCCTTCAAATTACAAAGGATTAAAAAAGATAAAGAAAAGTTATCAAGATAATTTTAAGCCTTAGGAAGGCTTAACTGAAAAAAAAAAAAGAGGAAGGGGAGAGTAGTATAAACATGCATTTTGAAGTAATTAGATTTAAATTGAAATTACGCTGATAGAAGCCTTTCAACATCAACAAAGACATTTTATTTTTTTTTCTAATCTACTTTCTGAAAAAAGACCAGGTCACTTGAACAACACTACATTTTATATGTAAATTAATTATAAGATATAGATTAGGTAGGTGGACATTCTAATCTGTTTAAATAAACATCTACATTTATATACCCACACTCTAAAATGTTTACACACACAGGTGTTTTGGAAGAGAAGTTCAGAACTGTTTTCGCACATTTTTTGCTGTAATGCCATGAACTTTTTGTGTATGTGTTTAGTGATGTACTAACTGTCAAGTCTAAAAAAGACTTTTGATTCTTCTCTCCTGCAGATAAGCCTAAAATCCCCTGCAAGTGGAAACAAAGGGTGTGTTTTAACCAGTCATTTCTGTAAGAACAGAACAGCACAGGGCCAGTAAGATCAAACCCCATGGCACAGCTCACAAATGGCTGAATTCTCTCCCCCAAAGCAGGGCTGCATCCCCAGCTGGCTGCCCCAGGCAGGTGCTGAGCCTTGCAGCACTCACAGCCATTCTCCAGCTGGGGTGAGCCACCTGCTAACAGGGGCCACACTGAGGGTGACACTGATGTGACTGCAGGACAGGAGTCAGCTCACAAGCACAGCTGCAGCCTCACCCTGTCTCTGAGGAAGTCACCTTGGTCACTTCTGCCACGGATCAAAGAAAGCCCATCAGGGCAGTCTGCACCCAGGAGAAAGAAACCTGCTGCAAAACTGCTCCTTCATTTTATCCCTAGGAACAGCAGCCCACCAGCATCCTAGACTGGCAGAATGACCTGAAAAAGGCAGTTCTCTTCATGAAAGCATAAGGGATAGAAAGGCCTAGGGGGAGAAACAGGTTAGTGCAGAAGAGGATGTTCTACTTTCTCCTCTTTTGCAGGCTGGAGGAGGAGAACACGTCAGGATAAAGATCATCTCCAATACAATTCTTCTGACCTTGTCTTTCCCTTTCACAGAGGGATACAAGCAAATTGGTTACTCCTTCCAGAGATAATTTCCAGATGCCTGGGGAGGCATTCCCTTTGGCTCAGAACTAGTTATGTCAAGAAAAAAATCCAAATACAAAAACCATCTCAACTGATGGAATTTGTGCTCAAATCACATGTGACAATTTAAGGCTGTAATTTCACAAAATTAGCTGGCCTCACTGTGTTTAGTTCATTCATATTTGACACTTAAACCTTTATAAAATTACGGACTAATTTGTTGTAATACAGCTTTCTTTGTATGTTTGATTTCTTTCAAAACAATTATATTACAGAAATTTTCATGAATTAATTTTCCAGTAAGAAACAGTCCTTTCTGTCTCAATTGAGCATGACAGCAGAGTGCTGCCAACAGTGGCAAAGCAAGCTAACACAGTGGCATATCAGCATATACGACATCATGCCTGACAGCTGGTAATGCAAAGCATAAGGATATCTTGATTTTCAGGGAGAAGTGTAGAAAGAATTGTAAAATCAGAAGAGAAGTAGGAAGCGGTAAGAGATAGCAGAAGAGGAGGATCTTCAAAAATTCAATTTAAAAGCTATTTTTATACTGCCACTGCGACTGCTCTTAGATGAAGGAAAGTGAGCATGAAACAGAAACTGTGGAAAGTGAATCTAAATCCAGTAAAAAGTGTCAAGATATTTCATTAAATATCTTATTTGTTATTTATATTTGCATGCTCGCTCTGAAGGGAGACAGTCAACATGTGCTAAAGAAAAATAAATTCCAAGCATGAGGAGGTGGCACACTCACCCATAAGTGCTAACCCAGCCCATGGTCTTCTACACAGAATAGCTGCAGTGGCTTTAGGGCAGAGATGTATTTTATATTCTGCAAGTATTACAAAAATACAGAGGGGGGGGGAAAGTACAACATGATCACAAACTGGTTTGCTCATGGCAGAAATGGGCTGTTAAGACATTTAAGAGACAGAAAAGTCTAGGTAACATAAAACCTGGCTCTCAGAGTTAATATAAACATTCACTAATTATAACAGGCAGCAGGACTAAAGCGAGTATTTCTTCCTTCTTGTATGTTCTCTAGATTTGATGGCTCAGAAAGGACACAGAATTTCACACCTATGACTCATGGACAGGCAATCCCGCATCTCTTTTGAAACTCTTGTTCTTTGATGGTATGTCCCAATAAGGAAGCAACTCTCTTGGAAGCTATGCAAACTGGAAGTCAGAGTGTGACCAGGGGCTATCAGAGAGAAAAATTAATGAGGAGAAGAAGGGGTTTGGGAATCATCATCTTTCTTTTCTGTAGACACAAACAATTTGTACTTCTCAAGTGCTGCCTGACTTGTTTGAGCCATGACTTCTGAATAATGTGAATGAAAATGCTGGAATGGGCTGTCCCACTGGTAGAAGTAGCTCCAAGCAGAAACATTGCAACAACTTGGACAGTCAGCACAAGCCTGAGTGACTGCAGTGACTAAACCTGATACCCAAGACTGAAAGGCTGAAATTATTAATCTAAACCTGTGTATAGCACTGATAGCTTTATTGACTGTAAATACATGAACACACTTGCATCTGGCAATAAAAAGAAAACAAAATATCAGAGGTTTATGCAGCACATCAGAAAAAGTTATTAGCTTTCCTATTAAAGAGAGGCTGAAATGGGCTATGTCGGGTTTGAGTGAATAGTTTTTAAAATTGGCCATTGAGAAATTTATCTACCATATCCATAGTACAGAAGATTAAGAATTAGACCTTGGATTGATGCCAGGTGCTTGATCTATCTGTTAAATCCTAACTTCATACATATTTAAGAATTGGGTATGTTTAAACAACAGAAGCACTAAGATACATGGAAAATACCAGTGC